TCACAAGTTTTGTTATTAAAAGAAACTATATTTTATAGGACCAAACCATAGTTTTTCTGTTACTTACGGTTGATCTCAAAGTTTAGTGCTTTAGAGCAGCTAATTTTTTTGGCCTAGACAACAGCTCTACTGTAACTAAGAGCTGTCCAACAAATTCACTCCATTAATTTAACGGTGTAGGAATCCACACTGTTATATTTCTGTAATAAATAGGTGTTCCACAAGTTCAATAATTTGTTTAGGTTACATCTACAATACATTTACAGCAATACTTATAACTCAGAAGTCTTCGAAGAATTGTGTCGAAAAAAAGGTTCAAGGAAATCCGAAAACACATTGGTATCCATGACGAGTTTTCGTCGTCTCATGTAGTCAGTTTGAAAGTAAGTAAGAAACCTGCTTAATAAATTTAGACTTTCTTATTGCTGTAATGATTTCTTCAATACCAAAAAAGGAGTTTGTTTTTCAAACACTGCTTCATGCTTACCGTTGCTAACCGTTTCATAAGTTCAGTCGCCCAGTTTCTTACCGTTTCAAAAGTTCAACTTTCTACTGTTTCGCTAGTTCATATTTTCTAAAAAGTGAGAAAAACCTACAGCAATCCGAAAGCAATTTCAGCAACATTTACTGTCATAAAATGATATATTAAAACCGGCGCAAGCTGGAAAAAAAACAACAAAAATTTGCATACTTTCGAAAATCGAAATTTTACAATCACGAAGCAGCCTAGCATTCTGTTAGCTGTAACTGCTGTTGTTGTGTTTATTAAGCTAATAATAATCGAGCTGTGCAGTGTGATAGTTAGCTATCAATAAAAGCAGCAGCAGCTGCTGCTGGCCGTTCGTACGCTGTCAACATTCCACGCGTTAACGACCCACGCTCAGCTCAACCGCTTTGGATAGTTATTCGGTGGTTTCAACGCTGATGGCGTAATTTTTTAACAACTCACTCATTCACTCACTCGCTCAGTCACTCACTCAATATAAATCGCATTGAGCGCCGTTAGTTTAGTGTATGGTAACAACAACAACAATTTTCGTTACATTACAGAAATATTTTAATATATACAGACTTACATACATACATGCATATGTATATATTTTGCCATTCAGTGATGTTGACAGCTGATGTTAATCTAATTTTCTACATCCATATATACATATGTATGTATGTGAGTGCGTGTGTTCGTACAACCGTAAGTAGATTAGAATTATTGAGCAATATATACATATATGTATGTATGTATATTGAAGAATAGCACCGACAGCGGTGCACAAAAAAAAAAAACATTTGATCGAAAATTCATTGAGAATTCGAAACGAAAGCAAAAGTTTGCGCAAAAAAAAAAAATAAAAAAAAAAATAAAAAAAATAAAGATAGAAAAGATGAGTAAGAATAAGAAAAACTTGAAGCGTATTTTGTTGCAACATAATTTATGTGTTGTTGCTATTTTTGCTATTATAATGGTTCACTAAATAACAGCGTCGCCACATACATTTATATACGTACACACATACTAGTGTGAAAACATTAAGTTGCTAATTAAATTAGCGCAATTTATGACTTTTTTTCGAAGAAATTATTTTTCGCTTAACAAAAATTTTGTAATAAAAGACGAAATAATTTTTTTTAGTTATTTTTTTGTTGATTTTTATGCTCTAATTTTTAGAAAATTATTTTTTATTTTTTTTAATAAATAAGAACCGTTGATGATTTTTTTTCTCTTCAAATTCATTTATTTTCTAAATTTTATTGATTTTAATATTTAAAAATTATTTTATCTTATGCTTGAATATGTCAAAATTATTAATTTTTCATTTTTTAATGTACTGCTTTTTTCATTATAAATTTTTTGTTTTATTATTTTTTTTTTGTCGTTATTTTCCAATTTAATTTAATTTTTAAACAGTTTTTTTTTGTTTAAAATTAGTTAAGTTCATTTTAAACTTTAAATTTTTCAAATTTTTAAATTTTCCGAATTTTTTATTTATTTTATTTGTTTTAACATTTCCATGCAACGGCTTTAAATTTACATCTTTAAAAAAAATTTTGTAATTGTTTAAGTATCATTGAGCACATAAATTGACGTTTGAATTTTTTTTTCGTGCGCCGCGTGAAAATTTATTTATGTCAACACGCAGCGCTTTTTAACAAAATTCTAATGCAAATAATTTATTTTGCACGAGGGAAAATATTTGTGCATGCAATTGAAATGCTTTTGAAACAAAAATTTTTTTGTTCTAATTAAATTGATATAACTAAATATTTTATTGAATTTCACTGAGCTTGTTTGCCTTTATTAAATAAATACATAAAAATGTGTTTGAAAAATGCTAAAAAATATTTTGGCAATTATTGCTGCTCTTAGTGTTTTTATTATTATTGTTGTGTTTGATGTTTTTTGCAAAAGCATCATTTTTCGCTTAATTAGTAGTATAAACAGAAATTTTGATGAGCGAATTTTTTTCTGCAATGAAAATATTTACTTTTCAATGCTTGAATTTGCCATAATTTTTATTTAATTTTTTATTTCGGAATCAAATTTTGAAATAGTTTTTATTTATTCGATTTTGCGTACTTTTGGCGCTAAAAAAAAAACTCATTAAACAAATCAAATGTTTTGGCATTATAAGCTTTAGTGCACTAAATTAGCAAAATTAGCCTTTTGAAGTTCAAATTAATGCGTCTAATTAATTACAACCACAAAGTGCAGTTAACGAAATGAAAGAACAACTAGGAATTTTTATTTTTATTTTTATTTTTGAACATGGCATTTTTTTTTAATTTTTTTTAGTTACTTTTTGCTAATTCTATCTCTTAATTATTGGTTTATAACTTTGAAAAAAAAAATCATTATTTTCAATTATTGAAAATTTTAGCGTGACACAGATTTAGTAAAATTTTTATTTTTCTTTAATTTTTTTTATTAAATTTCTGGTCTTTTTTCAAAACCAAATTTTTTGTATGAAATTTGTATATTATAAAACGCATATCTGTAATTTCTTGAATATAAAAAAAATAACAAAATATAGGTTTAATTATTAATTTTGAAAGTGTCGCTTTAGCTACCTAAAAATTAATTAACTTTTTTTTAATTTCAAAACTGAAAATGATCGACTTTTATGCCGAAAATTTGTTTTTATTAAAACGTTTGTTTCAAAATATAACAAGAAAATTAATTTCGCTTAAAACCGAGCAAAAATTCCTCTGGGTTTACATCTAAATTTACAGGTTAATTTTGCTCACCCTCGCCTTTAATCGAGATTCTATCAATACCTTCATTGTAGGGGAATGTTTTCTAAAAGAATTAGTTCTAAGCGACATATTCTCAACCGCTCACTGAAAAAAGCTGACCTTTTATATATTTTTAGCTCAGAAAATCCTCGAAATTTCTTTAAAGAAATCTTAGTTTTGAATTATTGCTTTTTTTTAATCAAACTCTTACACTTTTCTCTGACATTTAAGAAAAGGTGATAGTCATGGATCTATAACGAAGATGACGCCGAGCATACAATCTTTCAATGCACTCGCTAGCGTGACGCGAGAATCAGACTAGAAAACAAATGAAAGGAGTTCACAGAAAAATTACTACGAGCCAAAAAGCGGGACCTGGACGCAGGTGACGAGATATAATCTCAATATGAGAAAAATGGAACGCCGCCCGGAAGTAATGCGAAAGCGATTCCAGGGTGTACGACGGTTGCCTAGAAGAGAGTTTTTTAAGTGACCTGCAAGTGGCACATACCATTAAAGTAACGACACAATTATGATGCGGAGGGCATTTTTCTTCTCCTCGCCCGCAAAAAAAAAGAATTTTTTTTAAATTATTTTCAAAAAATTTTCCAAAACTCGACGTCCAAGTCTAAAGAAACCAGCAAATATTTGTAAATAAATTTAGGAGCTTAATAAATGCATATGCAAAATATCGTACGGCAGAAGTTCAAATTCTGGTGCGACCAACATTCAAAATTTATAGAAAATTAATTTATATAAAAAATTAAGTTAAATTTTCTAATTGCGGTCGCCCCTCGGCAGGGAATGTCAACCACTCCGACTGTGTTTCGGACATGAAATAAAGGCTGCTCACGAAAAACCCACCAGCCGTTCGGAGGCGGCTTAGTATAAACTGTAAGTCCCTCTATTTGTTGGAAAACCATCACGAGGCAAAACCACAAATCGGAGGAGGAGCTCGGCCGAAAATCGATTAAGCGGTTACAAAGCGCAAATTACATACTAATTAATGTAAAACTAATAAAATAAAATTAATAAAATTAAAGAAATAACTCTCTTTGGTGCACGTCTTAATATTTTTCCAAATGGAGGCATTTTCTATTTATTCTTCTAAGTCGCCGCGAAGGGTCGAAAATCCAGTCGGAGGGGCTGAAAACTCCAAGCCCTGCCCTGGAAGATATTTTTATATATTTTTAATTTACTTTGTTTTATTTTTTTTAGCTAATTTTTTTTTTTTTAATTTAACTTTATTTAGTTTTATTTTACACATTTATATTTAATATAATTTATTTCTCAGTTTTTCCATTTACCTTTATTTATTTTATTTTGTTTAATTATTTTTTATTTAATTAATTTATTTCTAATTTCTTTAATTTTATTAGTTTTACGTTATTTAGTTTTAATTTACACATTTTGATTTAATATAATTTGACTTTAGTTTATTTTAATTAATAATAATTTAATTTAATTTTAATTTTATTTTGTTTAATGTGCACATATATGTATGTATTTTAATATAAATTAATTTTAATTCATTTAATCCGAATTCAATGTTATTTTGTGTCATATATATTTTAATTTACTTTTAGTTAATTTAATCATAATTTTTATTTATTTTTTAATCGAACTCAATTCAATATTTTATTTCTATTTTTAATTTTCATTTTAAGTCTCAAGTTAATTGCAATTATTTTTAATTTCTAACCCCTTGCAAAAATATGCTAAATACTTTTACTATTATTGTAATTAGTACGAAATCCCACACTTACATTCACTTCTTTATCTCCTGCGCTGCTGCACTCAATGCCTGCGCTGCTAACAACGTGTTGCTTGTTTTTGTTTATTTTTTGTTTGATTTTTGCAAATTTTCTTTTCAGCAACTTTTCGCACACAACTCCTTCTACCGGTTTTTATATGCACTTCACTTATTGCCTGCCGCTCTGCTCCACTATTTTTAGCAATAATTTGCTGCCATGAAATTTCTTTATTTTATTTTTCTTTCTCACTTATCTTGTTACTTGCTTACTTCACATTTATTCGCGCTGCAGCGCCACCACACATTTCCAAGCAATTACTCAGCGCCAAAATAAATAAAGACAAAGCGCAAAAACTCTTGTATTTGTATTTTTCTTTTGCATAAATGTGATTGATAAATTCGTGTAGTGATTACACACGTCACTCGATAATCGATAAAAAATCGCAGGCAGCTCAGGTAGCATCCGTTGAAGGCGACGTCGCGTTGTGTGTGTGCTTGCACTCGCTACCTGTTCCACGACACTTCGTAGCAGCAGCGGAGACGACGCACCGGCATAAATAGCAAAGAACCAAAAAATGTGCACAAACAAATACACGTGCACACACACACACGAAAGATACAAAAATTATTGGAAAAAATCAGAAATCACACAAACAAAGCATTAACTAGACTACAGTAAAGCAAGAAGAAGCAGAAGTTAGCAGCAGCCAGATTTTATACGTCACAGCGTCGCGGCGCGTCTTCGCTTCCTATTTATGCTGGTATAGCTGAGTTCATATGTATGTTTGTATGTATGTATGTTTGCACACGCGTTTATCCAACCATTTTGCTTTGAGGCGAGCAAATTTCAGATTTTCTTTGCTTGATTGATTCGTTGCGCTACCATATAATCTGATTTTGTTGTTGTTGTTATGGCTTTTTAATAATTTCTGGTTTCGAAAAAAACATGATAATTTTTTATACAGTGTTTTCAATAATTTTCAACACTTTTAATGATCATTTAATGAACAAGTACGCACACACACATACATCAACTCATTGCCTGTTCATTTGCAATTTCAATTTCAATTTTTTATTTAAACTCAATTATTCCTTTTTGCTTTTCTAAAATTTATTATTATTTTTTAATTTTAAATACTATGGATAAATACGCACTACATCGTTATTCGCCACTTGGTGGTTGAAATTTAAATTTCATACGCGAAAATTTCTCTTAAATCGTTTCCGTTCGTTCGTTTAAATCCACTCGAACACGTCTAAACGCCACAAAAACCGGCACGAAACTAATGGAGAAAAACGCTCGCACACCATACAAAACGCTGAAAACTCAGCAGTGCTGGGCGCTCGTGCGTAGCGAAGCTGTTGGCTGTTGCAATGTTAGCCAGAGTCGGCTGGTCGGTTAGTTGGTTGCTTGGATGTCGGCTAGTTCGATGTTGCGTGGATGGCTCCACAGATAGCTGGTTTTGTGTTTTGTTATGGACGGTCATGGGTACTGATGAATGAAAGACGGCGTGTGCTTGTGGCCGATTGTGGAGCTTTTGTGGATGGTGTATGGCAAGAGTTTGAGTGCAAACATCGTGTGTTTTAGGGCAAACAAATAATAAACAGAGCTCTGGGTTCAATAACGGGTAATGAGGATAGAAGAAGAGGTTGAAGAGAACTCTTCTTGTATAAGCATATTAGGTCTCCTTGGCACTAGCGTATCATATATGTGCATATGTAAGAAGCTGCTAAACGGAAGTTAGAGCATTTGACGCTAGATCCTTTCAACCAAATGTCTCTGCCATGAAGCTTATGACTGGCGTGGATTATTGCCTGTATAGAGTATGAGGAGGAGTTACCATACTTCTCAGATATCTGGTCCATTCAGGGAGCTTCTGATCTGTACCGCGGACAGCTTATAAATCTACTTACCAGAACTTCACTGAAGTCTCTCGACCTTACTACAATAGAATTTTGTTTCCCATTTTTGTGCATCGAAAGACAGGAATAGTAAGAACCCAGGAGCATATTATAAATCCACAAGCCAAATCTTCAGTTGAACGTCTGATCCCTACCACTGGTTACATTTTTTTACTGAACCAAAAAAAACCTTGGAAAATAAAGTCAGCTGAGAAGTTCACAGGCCAGACCCCCGTAAATATACTAAGCAAGAAATTGATACACAGATCAAATTTTCAATCCTTATCGATTTTGAAGACAAAGATGATGAGAGCTCAAAAAGGTTTTCGGACAAACTTATAAGGTGCAAAATTTGCTGCGCAGTTCCAAGAAGCCAATCATATGCGAACCATCAATCCCAGTGCCTCTCCGCCTTACATTCCATCATACTTTTCGTAAATAGAGTATAAAATTTCTGAATTTACGCCAAAAAACTGGCGATGAATATTTTCTTTCTACCCCGACCTCCATCAACTCACATTCCACAAGCATGTCATGGAGTAATTGATGGACGTCATTCAAACGCGACCACGAGACGAACGAGCTATCAAACATGTTGCATACAGGTAGTAGCAACAGCATACAACCAAAAGACCTTTCATAAATAATTTCGGTTTGCAGCATTTGCTTAATTTGGTTATTTGCTTCTTTGGCTGCTTTGGCAGTGTGCATTGAGCGGAGAAGATTGCGTGCTCTCTTGCACTCTCTCAATCTCTTTGCGAGCGCACTCGTTTACAGACAACGAATCAGCTGTTCGAATTCGTGCTGTTAAAGGCTTGTAAATAGTGTGCTGCCATATTGATAGGAATTTTGATTAAGTGATGTGTCGTTTAATTTGCGAAGATTTCTAATAAAATGGTTGTAGCGATGAAAAATATTTAGTTTTTCAGCAAAACTAAATTCATTGTTAAAAATTCGGGATCAATTAGGTAAAGGTACTTTTGTTATGTACATTTTTTTTTTTTTTGTCTCAGTACCAAATAATTTTTGTATTAAAACTGAAGAAAGTAATACTCCAATGTTTTGTAGCCACTGCATAGAAAAAAAATTTTAATAGTTTAAATTATGGAACGAATCAAAAGGGATTGGTTAAGAAGACCAGTTTTCCATAAGAGTATGCTTGATCAAGTGGAATTTCAAAACGTACAATTTATGCACAAATACCACTTAATTGGATTTAATTTTATTTAATTTCATTATTTTTGCCTCATTTATTTTATTTAATTTCATTTAAATTATTATTTTTTTTGTTATTATTCTTAATTAATATATAAGTTTGTTATTATTTTATATATAATTTTTTTATCTTAAATTATTTTATTTTATCTTATATTATTTAATATTTTTATTATATGATTTTAATGATTTTTTATTATCGCTTATATAACATTTGATATAATTATATATTTACTGATTGTTAACTATTTTTAGGATTTTATTATCAAATATGGTGAACAAGAATTGAATAAATGTATGGCAACGCTGTGAAGAGCACTCATAACAGTCTTTGCGCTCATCACTGTTAACTCAATAACAGGTTTTCACGCACGAGTTGGGTCTCTCAGTGCATTGCCAGCCAACATATACGCAAACATTGTACATACATGCATACATCCCCTCGGTCAGCACTAACCTTCCACTAAAATATTTAGTGGCGCGCTAATGCCAACTTAGCCCTGACCATTATAACAATATCTAGCTGGTTGTTGTTGTAGTTGTTGTTAAATTTCTTATGTCACTTTTTTGCTTGCATGATATACATTTTTGCTTTTGTTTTTGTTGCCGTTTGGTTGGTTGTTTTGTCTAATTTTGTTACATACATACATACATACACACACACACACACATGAACATTTCATTGCTAAGCCGACTTTTCCACCAATTTTTTTGTTGTTGTTATTATTTTTATTTGTTTGCTTGCGTCTCTACCGCTTTGTACGTCACCATAACCTACCTCATACACGTTAATATATGTACATACATACATATATGCACCTATTTACCCATCAACAGCTGTGCCCTCGTTGGCTCGTACGCTGCTCTGCTCAGCCCTGCGCCGTTCCTGCGTCGCTCTGCATCTCCTGCGGTTGAGTATTGAAAGTGGCGCACGGGAGTTTCGGTTGGCAAGCCAGCAAGAACACATGTAATGCATTTTGGATGTACGTAAATATGTATGTGTCTGTATGTGTGTCTATTTGCATTTAGCATATGAATTTTGCGGTTATCAGTGCCGGCGCCCCAGAGACAGAAAGGCTCGGGGGATGCAAGCGACAACGGCGGGGGGAGAGGGCAGTGTGTCCTACCAGTTTTCAGCCGGGCTTCCGATCGGCCAATCAGTTGGTATGGACTGTGTTGAGTTGTCAATTTGTTTGTTCGGTAAAATGCATTAAATTTTATTGACAAGTGAAATGTTTACACACATACATATCATATATACATACATAAGTACATATGAACAAATATTTACATAAATGTAATTCTAGTTGAAATTGATTATTCGACAAAAGCAAACAAAAAAAAATGTAAAAAATCCAAAAAGTCAAACACAAACAGGCAGATGGACTGAGCTGAGGTTTTCCGACTGTGAAAGGGCGATTGTGCATGTGTGTTTGTGTGGAGGGTAGGAAAAATTTGGCTAGGAAATATTAGTTTTATGTAACTGTTGTTGCTGTCGTAGTGACTCGTTCGACCCGTTTAGGAGCATTCAAAGCTTGGCTAAATACGTCTTCGAGGTCATCTGGCTAGACAGGCTCAGAAAACGAGCAGTTTCGACGATGTTGGACTAATGAGAGAGAGGCCTTAAAATAGTGCTTTTTGGAGGACATTTCGGGTTTATGTCGGAATTGGCAGGATGTTGAGGAAGTTACAATATTCATACCTCAACTTCGAATCGGATTACTCGGGGCTCACTGGCTAGCCGTTGTTGTTGCAGCCACAAAAATATTCCCCAAAGTACTTTTTAGGGGATTTTGCGGGAGTGACAGTCCTTGGCCGGATACAAATCCAGGTTATGCCGGTATAAAGACCCGACTGTCGCGGGAAGTATTTTATTTCAGTCGCCTCTTACGACAGGCGTGTAAATTCTTGCACCACCAATCCGCTGACCACCTCAACCTCGTTGCTCGACACTGGCGGTGGTGAGTAGTGAAGGAGGGTGTGTATTGCAGCTTGGTGAAAGTCCTTACGGCCTGCATGGTGTGAAAGAGAGCGAGCTGCTGACAGTAACTTTGGTCACTTTTATTGACAGTCTGAATATTCACCTCCGGTGTTCCTTCAAAAGTAACTGTTAAAATAACTTCAAGATGAAGATGTAAGACATTAAGGGGAGCGGCTCTGGTGTTGGAGATAGGTTCCAGAAGTAAAAAAAATAACGTGTGAGAAAAAGGACCATCCACAAGTCACTGAGGCGATTCTGGAAACTCAGTTGGAGCCTGGTAAATATTTTTAATAATTTTATTTAAATTTGTTTTATTTATTAATTATTTTTTTTAACGAATTTTAAATTCGTTATTTATTTAATTTTCAATTTTATTTTAATTTACCTCAGTCTATATTTTTTAACTTACTTAATCAAATTTAATTTTTTTTTAATTAATTTAGTTTAAATATTTTTAACTTATTTCATTTTTTTTTTGTTTTTTGTATTTTACTTCATTTTTTTTTGTATTGTATTGTGTTTTATTTAATTTTTTTGAATATATATTATTTTTTGTTATTGTTATTTTTCCTATTTATTTTATTTTATATTATTTTATTTTATTTTCAAATTTATTTTAATTTACACAGTGTTTATTTTTTAACCTACTTAATTTAAATTAACTTCTATTTAACTAATTTAATTGAAATATTTTTTACTTATTTGATTTTATTTTTTGTTTTTTGTATTTTTCCTTTATTTTATATTATATTAAATATTCAAGTTTTTTCTATTTTTTTTTATTTACTTTATTTTAATTTAGTTAATTTTTTTTTATTTTATTTTATTTCATTTAATTTATGTTTACTTTATTATTTATATATATTTTACCTGAATTTTATTGTGCTTCGTTAACCCTGTCTCCACTGTAAATTCCGAAAGTCTGACTCACATACTCGTACGCATGTATTCATACGAAGCCACGACGTGCCAGGAGGGAGCAGTTCCGGAGTGTAGAAATAAAAATAAAGAAAAAAATTTCAGAAAATTCAGAAAATTAAAATGTTCGTGATAATAGAAAATCCAGTTTTTGGTCTCATGGTTGTAATAGTTGTTGCTGCTGTTGTTTGCTTTTGTGCTATTATGTACCAAAAATTAGGGGAATTTTTTGAAGGGAAATTCAATGCAGAGAGGAGGCCGAGGATGAGCACGACAAGGATGAATA